TTATGTACAAGAAAGTTGTGAAGCTGAGGTGCTGCATCCATACATCGTTTTCCAATCGCGGCACTCTCCACCTTCATCACCCCCGGCGCCAAATCCTCATTTTGTCCATGCCAACACCCTTCCAAAGTTGCAAGTCCTGCCAGTGATACTCACATGGTAAGAAACCCCAGATATCCTCAATATCCAAACCAAATCTGACTCCCTCATAGCCTCCCAAAAAGCGCGGAGGCGCAGCTAGCTCCTCCGCACCGGCAGCACCTAAGCGCGGACGCGCATCCAAGCTCGCTAAGGAGAACAACATCACGGCCGAAGAAGAAAACGAAATAAGAGAAGTCTTCCACCTATTCTCCGACAAGAACACAGACTTCCCAGACGAGAAGGAGGGAGTCATTCCCCGCGAAGATGTGCGCAAGGCACTGGTGTAGGCTTCCCTACCTCTCTACCCGAGCAATTTACAACAACCGACAATACCTACAACCCCCGCCCCCTTCCTCAATTGCTTACTCCCAATTTATAACTACGAAATACTAACAACTCTCCCTTTAAAAGCGCCCTCGGCCTCCCGCCCACCGACTCAACCGAACTCGCAGAAATCCTCTCCGCACTCGATCCAACTCTAAGCGGATACGTGCCCTACAGCCCCTTCGTCTCAATAGCAGCAGCCAAGCTGCGCTCGCGCGATGATGACGCCATGGCTGCCGAGGTGGACGATGCGTACCAGCTATTCACGCGCGGCACGGATGGCCCCATTACACTGTCGCATCTGCGGCGCATTGCGCGTGACTTGAAGGAGGATAGTGTGGGCGATGACCTGCTCAAGGATATGATCCTTGAAGGGAATGGGGGTGCTGGGTTGAGTGCTGGTGTTACTTTGGAGCAGTTTCATGATGTCATGACCAGAGCTGGTGTGTTTTAGAAGTGGGGGATTTGTGTAGATGTTTGATGGGACTGCATTTCTTGTTTTGATGGATATAAGGGTGGGGTTCGGCGTTTGATTTGGCATCTTCTTTTAGCAGGGAGTCCGAGGTTTTGAGGCTTTGAAGGGATTCCAAAATTGTTCGAAAATCGATTGTCATTTGTAATGTCCCATTATGGGTGTAGATACATGCTTTCCTCCACCGGGTTCTGCGAAAGACATGAAAGAATTAAGCCTGCTGGTACTAGCAAAAGAAAAAGATAAAAAGAGTAGAGGAACACAGCTAGTGAAAAAAAAGCAGAACAAAAGGAGCACAGAAGGAGATATGACCCGCGCATCAACCATAAATAACTCCCGAGAATATTTGCGGAACTTGTATCATGCAGGAGCCGCGATGGAGGAAAGTGAAAGCACTCGTTTAACCGTTTAGGAGATCTCGTCAGCCATGCCGATGTCCTGGTTGGCGCTCGCCTGGGGGACAGTGGCGTTGACGGGAGCAGTGCCTTCAGCAGGGGGGGCATCGGTGCTGAAGTAGTCAACCATCTCGGCATCAAGCTCCTCAACAGTCTTGGGCTTTCCACGGCCGGCGTTGCGGCCACGAGGGCGAGCAGGGCCCTTTCCGCGGCGGCTTCCCTTTTCAGTAGCGGTGGCCTTGTTTTCCTTGGCCTTGGGGGCAGCGGCGGACTTGGGCCGAGCCTTCTGACTGTGAATGAATAAGCATATGAATGCGGACAGTGAAATGGACGTCAACTTACGCAATGCGCTCAGTGAGAGGCTTGGCAGCAGGGACAGCGGGAACGTGAGACGCATCGTAGACGACTTCGATCTATCATACAGGTCAGTAAATGTCGCAATTATGGTGAGCCAGAGCGAAAGGGATTTACCTTCATGGGGCGACCATCAACGAGGAGTCCGTTGAGCTCCTTGGTGGCCTTGGCAGCGGTGTCTGCCCTGATGAACTGGATAGAGGCGATGCCACGGCTAGTACCATTCTGGTTGTAGGTGAGCATGACCCGTCTGACGGGGCCAGCAGACTTGTTGAAGTATTCCTATATCGCAAACAAAGACGATCAGTATTTTCGTCAGACAATTTCAGTGAGAGCGCGGTTCTCGAGTGTCGAAAGGTGGCGGCGCAAACGACGACAGCCAAAGGAGAGAGCATCAGCGAGCACACAGCATCAATCTATCGTCCGTTCCATCCTAGCATTGGAACATGGAACATATAGCGCCATAATTGCAACCCCATCCGAGAGGTCGCAAATTTGCTCCCCGAAATGGAAACCAAAACCAACAAACATACATAGTAGTATGGAGTCTTCACTCCAACCACAAACCCATCAAGCGATCACAAGTCCTTCAACAAAAGCATTCTTTCACGTCACCGCCATCAAGGCAGAGGCTGTCAACTGGAATCCATTTGCCCATGGATGTGCCATCCCAACAAAGTAGGGTCATGTCAAACACAGTTTAAACTTCTCCGAGTCACTTGAATAGGTAATCACCCCATAACAGCAAGACTCCTCACGGAGAGACTTGAGACAAGTGTCTCGAACAGGTAGGTTTCAGTCTGCCCTCTGAACCTGTTGACCATTGTTCCACTGATGCGCTCGCTGATGCCCGTATGGATCTCAAAGTAGAATGACATGAAGGAAATGCGCGGGATTGAAGAGAGGTCAGGATGATGAGTTTTCATCAATCATCCTCGGCGTAGTACTCAGAGAACAAGGCAGGTGGATTCCCATGTAGGAATCGACACGAGCAATGTACATCTTTTCACCATACTACAACACAGTTTGACTTCTTGTCTCGCAGAGCGCCAGCAATGTGTATGTATTTGCAGAGACATGTAGAAGGAGCAAACTGTGTGTGCCGTGCATCGAGGAATATCCATCGATGTGGGAGGAGGTAGAGAGAGGTCGGAAAGTCGGTCGAAATCGTTTGCGCCGCGAGATTCTCGAGAAAAGAGATGGCGATGGAAGCCAAAATGAGAGCCTTTAGATCAACATACCTTGACATTGGCCTCGGACACATCGGAAGGCTGAGGAGATTAGCGCGTGGACAAGTAGATACGTCAGAAGAGCAAGAACTTACCAATCCGCTGACAAGAATCTTGCTAGAACCAGTCTGGGCGACAGGGGTTGGGTGAGCAGCCTTGGGAGCAGCCTTGGTGGACTTCTTCACACCTCCGACGGCGGATGGCTTAGTCGCAGCGCGGCGGGAACCACCACGGCGACGAGCAGTGTGGCGAGCGGTCTGGCGACGGCTGCCGACGAGATCATCAAGGGACTTATCAAGGTTGGCAGACATGACTGCGACGGGTAGCAAAGCTGGCGATTTGCAGGTTCAGCAAGTCACTGGATGAACGCGTCGTGGATGATATGCGACCTAGGATTTAAGTCGCGTTTAAAAGAAGAAGTTGAGTTCACAGTGAATTCTTGAAACGGGATGAAGCAGGTATGTGTTGAAAAGGATGAATCTTGAAGGGAGGAAGGATACGAGAGAGTGAGGAGAGGGGGCAAGTCGTAGCCTGATTTGCGCTAAACCCTTTTTGGCGGCGCCCAATGCAAACAACATCAACCAATTTGATTGGACGAATGCTATTGAGCCCCAATGAAAGGTCCAAGGTACATGCCCCATGTACCTATTGATCTATCTTCGTTCCCCTTTTTGGTCTAAATTGACTTATTATCCCATTGTATGTGAGATCGACGTGAGATTGCATACAAATCTTTATTATTTTAAAATAAGCAGAAATCCATTATGTGCAGGTCCAGCCTTAGAGAATAGACTATGGAAAAACACGCACCCAACTCCAAACGCGAGAGCCATGGAGCAGACGACTCAATAACAAATAAACAAGACTAACGCTCTGAGTTTGCAATATGTACTAGCTCTTGAGAGCTTCCAACCGGCCACGCATCTGCGCGAGGGTGGCTTCTTGGTCTTCGAATTCCTCCTCGGCTTGTGGAGATTCCGGCTCTGAGATTTTGGCCACAGGCGGTGCCGTAACGGGCTGTGCCTGGGCGAGTTTTCCTTGCAAAACTTCCTGCAAGATCTTCTCAATCTCTGATTCTGCTTCGTCTTCCTCATCTTCAAAGACGGAAGGGTCCATAGTAGCGTCATCAACCATCTCTTCGATAATGCCTGCCCTGACTAATTCCGAAGACAGCTGGTGCATGGTCGCAGATAATTGGGGCAGTCGGACTAGGGTGTTCACATCCTTCATGATCCCAGTTGACTTTTGAAGGCTGCCCTGGATTTTGCGGGCCGAGAAGGCCTCATTGACCTGCATTCCCACACTCTGTAGTTGAGCTCGGCTGGTATTCAATCGTGTGGTCTGTTTCCGAATGCGCACCAGCTCCCTTGCAAAGACTTTGGTGTCATTGTTAGCCTGCTTGGCCTGGGATGGATTTCGCTGGGCCCGTTTAGAGGCATTGACAATGTGCTGGCGAGTCAGACTGTCACTGGCTTTTAGCCGGGCTAGATCGCGGTCGAGTTGCCGTGTGTTCGTGCGTATTAAAGCATTGCATTTTCTCATCTGACAGATTATTCTTTATCAGTGTCATATTTCCAGGCATTAATGAACCACACCAACTGCCTACCTGGGCTTGCGGGTCGGGCCCAAAGAATACCGCCTTGAGACTCTCCATGGATACAATCTTGCGGTAATAGGGATAGAAAGTGGCGATAAAAAAAAGGACAAGCAGGAAATTCAAGGTGTCTGGAATGTTCAACAAATGATTTCAGTTCCGGGGTGAGGTTTGATCAGCGATTAAGGCTCATACCCGGTGCATCGTCTTAGAGATAGGCGGGGCAAGGCTAATTCGTTGGCTATGTGAGCGCAGTTTTGAACCTTCGGTGTACTCTATGGCAGGATTATTGTTGAAGACCAGAATCGCTAGGTCTTCGGCTCTGTCTTCAGATCAGTACACACTGATGCGACTCTCAATATTCAAGCCTGGCAGTACTTTGGACACGCTCAGCGTCCTAGCCGGGAGCGGAAACTGAGTCAGCCCTGACGTAATACGATGTCCCACATATTCATGCCTGAGGCGTGCTTCTACCAGTTTCTACAACATAGCACCTTAGGTAGGTCGTGGATGAGCTTCTCCTACACTTCTTCTCTTCTCTTTGACCACGATTTCTGTCTCCCTCCCTTTCCTCAATTCTTCCAGTTATCTTTCCATCCCTAATTCAATATGTCTCAAACTTTGACTCCCGAAGGTACGTTGTGACTGCTCTACTGCTTCCCCGCTCTCGAACGCGGGACTGCACATTTTGCATGGAATTTACTATGACGTTATTCAATGTTTAAAACTGCTTTGAAGCATTCACTATGCCAATTTTACAATTTCATTTCTAAATGGGATCAAGGCGCTAACATGCTGTTTCTTTTCAGTTACATGGGCTCAGCGTTCATCCGACTCGGACCCTGAGCGCAACTACCTTTACGTGAACATCAAGGCTGCCGAGGTTCCCAAGGCCGATGCTACTCTCAGCATCACTGAGAAGAATGTCTCTTTCAAGGGCACCTCCAGGAAGGGCGTAACATACAACGTCTCCCTGGACCTCTTTGCCGAGATCGACCCCGAGAACTCCAAAGTCAACCACACCGACCGCGATGTCGAGCTCGTTCTCCGAAAGAAGGAGCTCAAGGAGGAGTTCTGGCCTCGCCTTCTCGAGAGCAAGCAGAAGATGCACTTCTTGAAGACCAACTTCGACAAGGTATGTTTGCGCGCTCGTTCTAATTTATGATGGATGTTGGCTAATCGGATACAGTGGGTCGACGAGGATGAGCAGGATGAGGCTGGCGAGGATGACTACGCCAACAACTTCGGCGGTTTCGGTGGTGAGGGTGGTGGTGACCCCAATGCTGGTCCCGGTGGCCTAGGCAACATCGATTTCTCCAAGCTTGGCGGTATGCCCGGCATGGGTGGCATGGGTGGCATGCCCGACCTCAGTGCTCTGGCTGGCGGTATGCCTGGTATGGGCGGCGTTCCCGGTGGTGAGGGTGCCGAGGAGGACGATGTAAGTTTGCTCGCCTATCGGTGATCTGTGATTATCTACTAACACAACTTTGCAGGAGGATCTTCCCGAGCTCGAAGAGACCGAGGGCCAGAAGTCCAAGATCCAGGAGATTCCTTAAATATGAGATGCCTGCTTTCTGCGAAATCTATGACGACCAGAAACGAAAAATGAGAGCGCTTTAAGACGCCTACAGGATGATGGTTTGAAATATGGATTTGCTTGGGTTTTCGCCGGCCATTGACTGCAAGGCTATTTTGACCAGGCAGCTTTGAACCAAGGCCAACCTTTATACATGGTAGATCTATTTCATTGAAAACATCCCAATGATTGATGAAGCGTGATGAGTGGTCATTACAGCCCTAGAGTTTTTCATGTAGAGTTATATAGATCAAGTGGCTCTACCTAGGTAGGGTCCACGGTACAATTGTATATCGTAGATGGAGTTATTCAGGAGACGCCTCAACGGGTGGCTTCTTCCTAGGCCGATCAACCTTCTTGGACGGCATAGTGAGAGCTATGTGGATGTGAGGTATTAGTATTTCAACAGCGATGAAATATCAACTTGATCTTAAGCGGCCTCTGTATTTGGGTCATTTTCTAGGACATTTCTTACTACGAATGTGCATTTACTATGTACACCGTAAGTGGATACCTTTCTAGATGTTTGGTAGCAAGTCAAAGTCATATAAACATGAATAAAAGAGAAACATAAAACTATTTAGATATAACTCTTTCAATATGCCTTCCATTCTTTCTTCTTTCGTGGCGTACTGATATTTACATAGGGCCCTATTGTGGGTGTTGAGGGCAAAATATTAGTGGGCATATGACGCATGTCAATATGAAGAGCACATGCTCAACGATATTGTACACCAGTGATAGAATTCCGAGAAAACAATGATTCACTAATAAAAGCATTGAATCTTCATAAAAACAATCACATAAATCTCATATTAGTCTACTTCTTCCTATTTCTACTCGCAAGGCCCGTAGACGCTGGAGTAAAAAGACCCGCACCGTCATTGGTTAACCAAAAATTACCGTCACACTCTCTCACACCCCTCGTTTTCGAGAACATTTCACTTTACAACCAACCCTGGCATTCCTGCCCACTCGATATCTTCTTTCTCAGATCTCCCTGTCATTCTTTCGGGTTTCATCAGCGTCTTTTCTTTATCTCATTCTCACCAAACTGAGGCGCACCCTGCACAGGCGCATTTTCACATTTTTACTCTTCCCCGAATCCGCGACGTCACGTCCCCCCAACCGTCGCCATGCCTCCCAAGAAGGCCGATCAGCCTAAGAAGAAGAAGGCCACCGTTGATGATAAGTCCTTTGGCATGAAAAATGTACGTCACACCCTCGATTCGAAGTCTTTGAAAAGCGAGCCCGCTCGCGCTATAGCCCAACATGTCCTAACGCTCAATAAAGAAAAAGGTGGTGCCGCCAAGAAGCAGATCCAACAGCTGCAAGCACAAGCCGCAAGCAACAAGAACCTAGACGAGAAGAAGAAGGCCGCCGAAAAAGAGAGGCGTGAGGCCGAGAAGGCGGCCGCTGAGCGGGCCAAGAAAGAGAACCTTGAGTTGTTCAAGCCCGTGCAGGTCCAGAAGGTCGCCTTTGGTGTTGACCCGAAGACTGTCCTCTGTCTTTTCTTCAAGCAGGGTCACTGCGAGAAGGGCCGGAAGTGCAAATTCTCACACGACCTCAATGTCGAGCGCAAAGCAGCCAAGAAGGATTTGTACACCGATACCCGTGATGAGAAGGCCGACGAAGAAGAGAAGAAGCAGAAGGATACCATGGACGACTGGGATGAGGAGAAACTACGCAGTGTTGTTTTGAGCAAACACGGCAACCCACGCACAACCACCGACAAGGTGTGCAAATTCTTCATCGAAGCTGTGGAGAACCAGAAATATGGTTGGTTCTGGACTTGTCCAAACGGAGGAAACAAGTGCATGTACAAGCACAGCTTGCCACCAGGGTATGTCTTTCTGCCATTTATGTGTGCCTCGTATGCAATACTAACAGCGGGGGTAGATTCGTTCTGAAGACCAGGGAGCAAAGAGCCGCCGAGAAGGCCCTCAAGGACAAGTCGCCCTTGAACACTCTCACCCTAGAGGACTGGCTCGATTCCGAGCGTCACAAGCTGACTGGCACGCTCACGCCCGTCAACGAGGAGACCTTCGCCAAGTGGAAGAAGGAGCGTATGGACAAGAAGGCCGCCGAGTTCCAAGCACAGCAGGCTAAGGAGGCTACTGGTCGTACACTGTTCGAGAGCGGAAACTGGGCTGATGAGGATAGTGAGGCTGAGGAGGGCGAGGACGAGGATGGAACCTGGAACTTGTCAGTCATGCGACGAGAGACCGAGAGGCTGCGTGAACAGAAGGAAGAGGAACGTCTGCTCAAGCTCGGTGGTGGGGTGCTGCCCACAAGCATACCCACAAGTATACCCGAAGCTGTCTCACCTGAACCTGTGGGTTGAGTCCCTCCATATCCCCACGATACTAGATTCGTGGGCCCTTGAGGATCCTTCTCCCCTGGTCACATGCAACCTTGAAGTTTGTTTCGTGTTGCTGTGGGGTCGGATCTCGATGTCGAGTGATCCCTGCAATCGCTTGCCCAAACTGCTCGCTTTGTAGGCAACCTCGCTCATCACTGAGGGCTCGGTTGGTCGCCTTTTCTTTCCAACCTCTATACGTGTGTACTAAAAATGTCATGCGTAGAGGAAAAGGTCAAGGCTGACTAGCCACGGGGTCACAAGGGCTTTATGGGTCTTGTGTGCCCCATGTGACGGAAGAATCAACGGCCGATATACCTTTTGATAGCACCTCGTTATTTTGTTGGTAGCAAAAAGTTCGTTCATTCAAATGAACCTGATGCCTTTATTTTTCTGTCTCAGATTGCACGGTATAGTTAAGATTTATCAACTCAAGAAATATGTACAACATGCTCTCTATAAACAATGCATGCGCTCGGTGAATACCAACAAATATTTTTACAGCGAGGCTTTAGCCTGCAGCAGCCTCTTCTCAAGCATCACGGCTACAATGTCTTCGGCAACACCACGAGACAGCTCGAACCCGCGACCACCAGCACCATAACCATGAACGATATACAGATCATCAGCGAGCTTCTCCGCCTCGATGCGCAGACCGCCCTCTCGAGCTGGCCGCCTACCGACAATATCGTGAATCACATCGAAGTGGCCGCTGCTTTCTGGCGTGAAAGGGAACCACTTCGTTGCGTTAGCGAGGAGGCGCTCCCTGGTTTCCAGCGACGGGTTCGGGTCCCAGTTATTCGGCTCTTTCGTGCCTCCGATGATGGTCCCGCCTTCGAGGGGCCGTGGGATACAGAAGGACCACGAGCCATCTGTATTCTGTCGAGTGATGGTCTTCGAGACGGGGTTACGTACAAGACAGGTTTGGCCTAGATAACATGTCAACCCACATATTCAGGGAGTATACGTTTAAGCGCATCCCAAAAAACCATCACCACCATCATCACCATCACTCCTATCGTAGACACACATACCTCTGATAATAAACGACTTCGGGTCCTGAAACCCACTTCCCGAGCAGTTCACCACGGTCTTCACATTTTCCGCCATACTAAACGCCTCCTTCAAATTGGCAAGCGTATACCGCCTCGTCTCGCCCCCCTTAAGTACGAATTTACGCAGCAAATGCGCACAGTAAATAGGCGAGTTAATCACATACGTCCCGTACTTCACACCCCACATCACGCCAGCCGGAACCTCCTCTTTCCCGAGAGTCTGGAACCCATCCAGATGTGAGTAGACATTGCGCACACTCTGTTGATCCAGGTACTCAGGCGGTGGAGCCTCGAGGTGCTCAACGCCCTCGAGGAACTTGATTCCCGCGCCGGGCTCAGCGGCCGCAGTCCGCTTCAGGTACTCGTACGTGCGCTGCGCTTGGTTCGCCTCCTTGAGAGCCTGTGGCGAGGAACCTGGCACCGGACGGTAGTGGGCCCCTGCCCATGGCGAGGCGTAGTTGACGGAAGTTTCTGAGGGGAACTCGCGGGCTACAAGAAGGATGGATTGGGTCGGAGTGAGGTGTTGTTGGATGCACAGTGCGGTGGAAAGGCCAATGACACCCGCTCTGGTTGAGGTCAGCTGATTGTTGTGTCTTGTGATGGTTTTTTTCTCTCTCTCTTTTTGGGGCCCGATTGGTTCCAGGATATTATATGTGGGAGTGTTGAACTGACCCGATCACTACGATTGTGTCTTTGGACATGTTGAGAGGTGGAATCTGAAGCTGTCACGAGGGGTTAACAAAGACTTTATAGTGAACAATTCATAGACAAGCTCTCCAATTGTCCTGGGGGGATTATATGAGTCAAGAGGGTCCGGGGAACATTGGAGGGCGATAAGACCCCCGCGATCAGACGATAACGGGATATGGCATGTGGCATGTTCCACTTGTCTAGATAGGGCATGGCATCCAACATTAGGTAGTAGTATTCTTATCAGCGATATAAACTTCTCTATATATCTCTAGAGTAGAGCACGTAGAATATAGTCACTTAATTCCAACATATGTGTGCCTCTTTTTGCATCTTGCCTTGGCCCACATTGAATATGTACGGGAGTATGTATATTAGGGTTCTCTTGTGACTTGTATTATTTCAAGGATCGGAATTGATCCAGTACATCCAGTACGACCTGATAGACCTTTCTCATTGCCCAAGCTCGATTGAAAACTCTGCCGGTGCCCCCGATACTATCACAGGGGCCCAAGCTCCAGGATGTTCGACGGTGCCTTTTTTGTGCAGGGATGACTGCATATCTTCGCATTTCTGTCACATCACAGGAACCAAAATGCAGAAGCAATTTGCGTACTCCGCACTTTAATATAAGCCTCGTGGAAGAAAGCAAAAAAAGAAAGAAAGAAAGAAAGAAAGAAAGAAAGAAAGAAAGCGAGATCGTCATTGATAGACATCGGAAACACTAGTTCAAGTGTGAAACTCCTGAACGGTCATTTCTCCGAACTCAAGCCAAGAAGAAGGCTGCTATAGGTCAATAGAGCCAATTTAGGCCATTGTCTAGTAGATTACAGACCGTCATGGAATGGCTGGATGTGTGCAGGTATTGGCTGAGGGGTGGTTGTGTAGGCGCCGAGGGATCAGCAGTGATGGATGGTGATTGGCCAGGTGAAGTGACGAAGCTGCAGCTTAAGAACAACAGCACGGATCCCAATCACATTGCTGTCTCGGATCACATTATGGTTTTATTTTCTTTTTTCTTTTTGCATATCAGTCTATCATTTGAAAATTGGGCGGTTCCTTACAGTTGAGAAAATATCAAGTTGGTCAAGTTGGTGTTAGGGTTATATACTTTCAACTATATAAAGTACGGAGTACTAGTAAAGGGTTTACCTCCGAGTGATCGACGTGCAGGACACTAAAGATAGTGCAAGGACCAGGGATTCTCTTCTTCAAGTGATTCGGGAACTTTGTCTGCATTGACCTAACCTTGGTTAACTTTTTCCTTTGCTCGGATTCAGCATGCTCGTTGGTGCAAGTCCCGCAGGATAACCCAGCCACCAGGAAGGCTCGATCTCACCGTCTCCGCTAATAATGTGTTGAATATGGTGCTTTTAATCCCGCGTCATGCTCCAGTCTCTCCGTAACTTGAGAAACAGGACAGTTGTATGGTCCAGTTAGGAAATGAAAGCGCCCAGCAATCCCCCCCCCCAAGCGCCAACCATTACTTAGTCCCCGTATTTTCATTTTGATCGACTATCGATGCTCCCCTCTTTTTGGGAAATGTTTGTCTTCATTCTACTCCGTACTATCTCCTATTTCCTCGGGTAATGCTGCTTATATATGTATATTATGGTTATATAGAACCCCAGTCTTACATCCTGTCACAAATCTTAAGCCCCCTCCGTCACGCTTTCTATGTGATGAACGTGCAAGCGAGTTCCAATTTCCTAGTTGCTTCCAGTGTCACACTTGAATATCTTATTTCTCTTTTTTAATTATTTTCCCCCTCCCTTGGTCCAACGGCTTGCATCCTCCTTTCTTTTTTTCTCGCCTTCTCGCATATTTCTTACATATCTTGCATCTTGCCCTTTTCATTTATAGGACCCAGATCTTCGCGCCTACATAGGTACTATATTTCAGTCACATTGTCAGGCGCTAATTCTCCCACCCAAATGTGCTTTGAGATACCCTGGAAATTCCCGTCTTTCACCTTGACCGGTACTCAGGGTCGTGGCCGATTAGAAATCTACCTGGCTTAAACAGAGGTCAGTGGCCCAATCTTGTTTAGACTCATTTTTATCTTCCCTCTTGTCCTGGAGATATATCATTTGGGACTTTTGTCTTGAGCAAATCCGCTTCTAGTAAACCAATTTCCCCGCAAATTGTCTCATATGCATCTGGGCAAATAGAATGGTTGAGTTGACATGGAATAGGAGCTTGGGGACAGAATTGCGACCCTTGAGGACCGTCAAAGCAATGGCACCTGCACCGCCAGCTGTCCAACCTCGCTTCGAGGCCTGCGCTTCGACGGCGTCCTTGTTTCTCTACGCCCAGGGCTCAACAATCCTATGCTTGCATCATGATACATTGGCCATCGAACGACGTTTTCAGAGTCACCAGGAAAACATTGACTTTATATCGGTCGATAACGTCAGCGAGCGGGGTGCGGGGAGATTGGTTGTCAGTTACGATGTAGGGCAAACGGCGATTGTCTGGGATATCTTCACGGGAACGGAGATTGCCCGCTTTGCTTCCTTCGATCATCTGCGAATAGCTTCGTGGATGCGTAATGGCAACGTTGCATTTGGTAAGAGCATTATTTCATGAATTTGGAGTCAAGTTGCTGATTAAATACAGGAAATGGCAAGGGTGAAGTGATCCTGTTCGAACCTCCCACTTCAGAGCACATCTCTGCGCGCACTATTTTCGACCCAATCACAGCTCTGGCACCCGCCACCGATTGTCGTACATATGCAATTGGGTACGTGCGATGAACATGATTAAGATAGAACACTTGGAAGCTAATGGGTTCCAGATATCAAAATGGGTCTATATTGATCGCGACTTTACTTCCTCAATTCACCATTCTTCACACTTTGACTACTTCGCGTGGACCATCGCCAATTATTTCCTTAGCTTGGCATGCATCCTCATCGAAACAGAAGTCAGATATGCTGGCAACCCAGTCATCGAACGGTGATCTACGAGTTTGGAGCGTGGCAAAACCACCAGGGAAAGAGTCGCCTCGAGTGATTAGGGTATTGAAACGATCTGACTCAAACTCATCTGATCCTAAATGGATGGGCTGGTCGAAGAATGGAAGACTGGTGCAATATTTAGAAGGGTGTGTAACCCTTCGGAAGGATAGCTAGGAATTTACTGACATCTGATTATAGAGAAACATGGTCTTGGGATGTTCGAACAAAGCATGTTACCTACGATCCAATTCCCACCATCGACGGTGTGCGAGGTATCGCA